ATGTTTTGTGTATTTTCATATTTCACACACACTATTTATTTACTTATTTTGAAACAGAGACTCGTTATGTAGAGCCTAAGCCGGCTTCAAACTTACAACTATACTTCTGCCTTAGCTTCCAAAGTGCTGGGACTCAGACATGCGTCATTATGTGCGTACACACACACACACACACACACACACACACACACACACCACACTCACACACAGTTTTTAATTGCCCTGATGATCAGTCTGTTTTTGGAAACAGCCAGAAGGAAATTCTTCCGAAGCTGTTCTTGCCAATTACCTACCAACACCAACAACATCCCAGCTTGAGGTCTGAGAGACCAGCGAGACATTCCTCCCGGTTTCTCGGTCTTTTGCCTGCTAGCCGGACCCTGACTAGGCGACAGAGCCACACACCCATGTAGACACAGACACAGCACACAGTGGTAGGGGAGGCTACGTGCTGGCTCTCAGGGACCTATCCCCTCACCACCTGCAGGCTTCTCCTTCTCACTTTCTTGCCCCACTTACTAAACCAGATTTGGCCCAAGGTGGACCATGGCCTGGACAGTATGTTTGCCTGGTCAGCTTGGAATGCATGGAAGGACACATTTCCAGCCTTAATGGGGAGAAACACTAAGTGAGTAAGGAAACCCAGGTTTGGAGAGATGAAAAACATAGGAGAGGCCTGAGTTCTATACACACCCAGGATTCAGAATGACCTAGTTATAAACTTCACCATTTGCAGATTTGGCGATCCGGATGAAGGAAGCATTTAGTGGCCTGTTCTCTGTGGCAACTCCTCCTTTCCAGATCTGTTAGGAATCTCCATGTAGGATAACCACTGAGCAGTCTAACAAAGCCAAAGCCAAAGCCGCACTTTCTTCCTCAACCTTCTTCTGCTACCAGGAGAAAGTAATGGGACCATCACCCACGGCATCTCATGCTTGCCCCTGCTCAGTCAAGTCTGGTATCCATTCATCAGCAAATCTACCTCCGACACTCTAAATCTGCCCAGTCTTCTGTCTATTCCCCCCATCCTGATTACCATCATCTCCCACCTAGACTATTTCATCCATGTCCCCAACAAGTAACCAGGATCCGGGTTTTCTCTTCTCTCAGGCAGCTGTTTCTACAACAGCCCCTGCCCCTCAGATGCATATGTGTGCACCTGAGTGTATGCATGTGCACCTGAGTGTGTGTATGCACACTGCAGATGCACTGAGGTCAGAAGAGAACATTGGATTTCCTGGAACTGATGTTACAGGCTGTAGTGAGATACCAGATGTGTGGGTGGTAGGAATTGAACCTGTGTTCTCCGCAAGATCAGCAAGTGCTCTTAACCACTGAGCAATTGCTCCAGTTGTTCCCAGTTTGTTTGTTTGTAGTTGTTTTTGGAGACAGGGTCTTGAGCTTTAGCTGGCCTGGTACTCACATCTACACAGCTGACCTAGCATTCACAATAATCCTCCCGTCTCAGCCTCCCAAGACCTGGAGTTACTACCATGCATCACCACATCCAGCCCAAAAATAATCCTTCAAAATCCCTCAAAAATGCAAATAGATTGCATTTTTCCTTTGCTTAAAAACCTTCTTTATCAGAGGCTCCTTGTCATCTTTTAATAGATAACATCTCAATTTACTAAGAGGTAAGAAGCTTCGGCTTTCTAGTCCCGTTAATCTCATACGGTTCTGCATCTAATGTGCCTTGGTCCAGTTCTATGCCTCTATCATATTTCTTTCTAAGTACCATGCTCTCCTCCTCTAAAGCTCTGTATCATCACCTCTTTCCATCCCTTGTCCCAACCCTCCCTGCTTATTTCTCAGGTCACTGATTAGATGTCAGTTTCTCTGGGTACCTTCTCTGGCTTCCCAAAGCTCTGTGTTCCTTGAGCACCCTCAATACTTTTCACCGGTAGTGCTAACCCTGTTTAATCGTCCTTTCTCTTCTGAAATCAGAGAGCTCACTTCTGTAATCTCCATCTTGATATACTTAGCCCCTGTCCCAGGATGGGGTGTACTCACGGCAGACTGAATGAGGCTCTGAAAACCATCCTCAAGTTTATGATGAGCACAAGCTAGAGTATCTTTACCACCCACAAAATCACCTGCCAAAGTCAGACCATGCCTAACACTCATCAGACCTCTAATTCCAGACAGGACAAACACTAGTTCCTGCTCAAACATACCTGTGATTCTCATACATGACTCACTTTCTCCCCATCCATCTACGGGTCCAGCCTGTGCCAGCACCCCCTTCTGGTCCACACACAGAGAAGAGATCTAAGCTGCAAACAACGGACAACAGCGGGAAAGAGATCAGTGTGACCCAGAAGCACTGGGCTCAGAGCTCGCACCTCTGCCCAACCCTGATTGGACAGCTAGTGAGCCTGGAATCTGAACAACCAGCAGAAGGCTCTAACTCATGCACACTCCTGCCAGCTCGGCAGCTGCTCTCGCACAAGGTGGGGCGGGATAAGGTGCACTCATTTCTTCCTTGATCTGATGACAACTTTAGAGAGCAACTTTCACATGTCACTTGAGAAAATTCAATCATAGGCCCCACAAATAAATTAATATTATACATAGAGAAACAAACTATGTTACACACACACACACACACACACACACACACACACACACACGGGTGTATCCTTTCAGCAACACAAACCTTGATGAGTATCTAGTGCTGAGAGATCTGCAGTTTTGGTTGTAAGCCTAGCCTTTAACAGCTGAGCCATCCCTCCAGTCCTAGATCTGCATTTTTATATGGCTGCCTCCTAAACTCAAGTCTTGTTTCAGATGGTGCTCAGAGATACCTTGTTGAATCCCTTCTTTCTTTCTTCCTCTTGGGAGGGCTGTTTTGTCTTTTGTTTTTCTGAGACAGAGTCTCACTATGTAGCTCTGGTTGTCTGGAACTCACTATGAAGACCAGGCGGGCCTCGAACTCACGGAGACCTGCCTGCCTCTCAAGTGGTGGGATTAAAGGTGTGAGCCACCATGCCCTGATAGATCTTTTAAAAAAAATTTTTTTTTGTTTATTACTGTGTATGGGGGGGGGGAAGGAAGAGAGGGAGAGAGGGAGGGAGAAAGAGAGAGGGGGAGGGAGGGAGGGAGGGAGGGAGGGAGGGAGGGAGAGAGAGAGAGAGAGAGAGAGAGAGAGAGAGAGAGAGAAGACAGCAGGAACACATGTTCCATGGTACAAGTCGGATGACTTTCACAACCCAGTTTTCTCTTAGCTTGGGATCTTGGGATCAAACTCGGGTCATGGGGACTGCACAGCAAGCACGTCTACCTGAGCCATCCTGCTGGCTCTTACCTTTCTTTCATGTCCTTTTTTCATTCTGTCAGGTCTTCTGCACACACTGCATGTATATAACGTCAAAGACTACAATTATATTCCCTCTGTCTATCCATTCTTATATCTTCTATGCTACATTTATGCAAACATATTATCATAAGTGTGTATGTGTGAAATCACACAGACCTTACATTATAGTAATTTATGGATTTTTTTCAAAGCTACTCTTGATTACATATAGCATCTGCCTCAGATTCTACAGTTCTCAACCTTCCTAATGCTGTGCCCCTTTTTTAAATACAGTTCCTCGTATTAAATATTCCTCCATAAAATAATTTCGTTGCTACTTCATGACTGTAATGTAAATATCTGTGTTTACTGATGGTCTTAGGTGATTCCTGTGAAAGGGTTGCTCGCCCCTTAGAGGGGTCGAGACCCACAGATTGAGAACTGCTGCTTTAGAACGTCATCTCCGTGTAGGATACAGTTTCCTGGGCATCAGCCACCCTCTAAGTTCCTCCTCCAGCATCAGCATCAAGCCTTACAGCCTCAGGCAGCATGCAGCTTCATCTGAGAACTCTAGTGGTCAAGTGGACAATGGACAGTCTACCTACTATTAACACTACCCCACCCCCCAGCCCCAGGATCCCACCAGCCTTGGGGTGGGGGGGAGCTATGGCTAGGGGCACTGCAGGCCAGTCGTCAGGCTCTCTGGTTTGCTCCTGGCTCCGGATTTTCTTTTCTATCCCATCATGGGCAGCTTTTACATCACACTGGGGTTGGAGGGTTGGGAGGGGGTGAGGGGCATGAGAAGGTGACTAGGCTAGCTACCCTCCCCAGCATCCTACAGGCTCCCAGTTCAAAACGGTGACAGGTAGGTAGCCAAACCATTCGAAATAATCGAGGATGGACTTTGGGTGCAGCTGCATTTTCAGGCTCTGCCACAACCCTACCCCAAGTAAAGGACTGTGGGACTTCCAGCTACCCTGGACGGTGTCCACGGGCTCTCAACACCCGGACTCCGTGTTCTTCCATAGCACTCACTGGCCTGAGGCTCCACATTTCCAAAGAGCCACAAACAATTGCTAAAACCATCTCCTTCATTCTTAACCCGAGTGGGTCAGAGTTTCCATTTCTCAGATAAGGAAGTTGAAACAAGAAAAAGCAAGACAAAAATCACAGGTTTCCTAGACTGATCTAAATTCAGATTACTAGACGGCTCGTTTGGCTTTTAGCTATTACAAGGGGGCATCTTTTCCTTCACAAATTTCACAAGTATTTTCTCACCCCTTCCCTTCAAATTCTTAAAAGTCTTCCCCCGTCATCCTTGCCTTTTCTCATCTCCAACTCGGATTTCCTCAAGGTCTGAACACTGCCCAGAATCCCTGAGGACCTTGCTTCAAGAAAAATATCTCCTCTCCCTTTGCTGTGGCTGAGAGCTCCCTCCTCACCGGCCCCACGTTCCCCCAACCCCATCGTTGCTCAGGCTCTTTGTAAGCGGCCGGCTTCCCCGGTCCTTTGCTCCCACCCCAACTCCATCACGGAGGTTCCCCTTTCCGCACACGACCTGCCCCCAAAGTTCCAGACTCGTTTCTCCGGCTCTCCCGGGTATAAGCCGCGCCTGCTCAACAGTTCAGGCCTGAGCCTTTTCTTTCCATCACTGTCCCGTCCCATCACCTCTGCGTCGCAGTCCCGGTTCCCGCGCGCTTACCCGACCAGAGCACGAGCTTGCCGTGCGCTTCCTCCTGTGACTCCGAGTCCCCAGCCAGCAGCGTGGTGGTGGCTCCGTAGGGCAGCGCCGAGCCCAGGCACACGTTGTAGCGCAGAGGTTCGCAGTGGGCGGCCCGGCCACAGTGGCTCAGCAACGGCGGCGGAGGGCTGGTCACCGGCGCGTTCCTCCTCCCGCTCCCGCCGGAGCTGCGAGGCCCAGGCCCGGTCGCGTTCCCGCTCAAGGCCGCCCCCCGACCCGGGCCCCCCAGCAGTACCACCAGCAGCAACTGCAGCAGCCTCGGGGACGCCAGCTCGGGCCCACGCGCGGGGCGGGCAGCGGCCATGGCCAAACCCGCCAACTCAGCAGAAGCCGAGGCGCCCCCGCGCTCCCCGGAGTCCCTTGGCTAAACACACGACCCCGGGGGCCGCGGAGGCTACTTAGGCGACCGGTGCGCCCCGTGAGTCTGGGGCCAGTTTTCGCCAGGCGCAGCGCGCGTCCGTGCCCCTCTTCTCCCAACTTTGCAAACTTTGGAACCCGGGCCCCATGTTGGGCAGCGCAGGCCCGGGCCAGGATGCACGGACTCCGGACTCCCTCGCCTGGCGAATGGAGTTGTCTTCAGCCCTGGGAGCCCCCTGGGGCTCCGATCTCCAGCCCCATTCCCTCTCCCACCATTAAAACCAACTCCCAGCTCCTCGGAGAAGGCCAGGCACCGGCCGGGGGGTGCGGGAGTCGGTCCCCGGCTCCGCCCCCACGCCAGTCCGCGGCCCAGAAGCCACCTCCGCGCGAGCGCGCCGCAGCCCCCTGAGCTCTCCCGGCCGACTGCCGGGCTCCTTTGTTGCTCTAGCTGGCCGTGCTCGCTCTCTGGAATGCACGGGCCTCGCGGAGCCAAGCCCTGCCCCCCCTACTTCCCACCCCCGCCTTCGCTAAGGCTAGGGGAGGGCCTGGGCCAGGGAGAGCAGGAGGAGAGTAAAATTGGGGAGGAGGAGCCCGAGCTTCGGTGGCCTAAGCGCCCGCTGGGGCTGAGGTTGGGGGATTTGGGAACCTTCATCCCACCCGGCGCCATGCGGGGGTAAGATGCGTGCAAGTCGTGTCCCATAGCTGCTATGAGACACTTGACTGAACCTTTAGTTGGTCCGAGGGTTGTTCGACGTGATGATTTTCAGAAGAGGACTTTTGTTTAGGGTAGCAGGGGGATGCCTAAAGTAGGCAGGAGTTTTAACTCATCACTACCCAATTTCCAAACCCCGCCAATCTTTCTTGCTTTTTGGTTAGATCTTTAAACTTAACCAGGAACCCTGGTGAAGAAGAACCGAGTTTAGGGTTTCTACTTCTTCAAATTCTTCCAGCTCTGGATATATGTGGGAAAATGACCTCAGAGTCTCTGTTACCTGTGGGAACGGATGTCTGGCATGAGAACATGTCAACACCAAGCCTTTATTGCTCAGATGTGTTGTCGGGACTGTGATTTCCACTATTGTCCCTGGTGCGCTTCGGTTTTGTCCACAGGAGCCAGTCCGTCCTGGATGAGTCCTCGCTGCCGATCTGCCCCTCATCTGCCCCATGAAGTTTCTCCAGTTCCCTTCCACACTCAGCTCTGCTTGCTTTCTTCATTATTTCAGACAGCTCCTTTAAATCACAGCTCCCTTAAGCAAGGGAAGCTAAGAGACCAATTACCTTGAGTAACTTTTCCTTGTGGCTTGCTAGTTTTGCTTTTCTTGTTTCCTGAAGAATAAATAGTTCACAGCCTAGCCCTCTTAGCAAAAAAACAGTTTCTGTTACCCTGTTAACAACAAATTAGCTACCAAAATTCAGATCCATCCTTAATTGGTACCCAATCCCCAGAGTTATAGGAGGTATTTAATTCAATCTGGGGGCTTTATGTTTTCTTCGTTCTACCTCTGTTGCTATGGTAAATGTCCTAACAGAAGTAACTTTAGGGGAGAAAGGACTTATTCTGGGCTCACAGTTTCAGGTCACAGTCCATCACTGTGGAGAAATTCAGGCAGGAAATTAAAGCAGCTGGTTGCATCCACAATCTGGAGCAGAGAGAAGTGAATACACTCATGCTTCCTGGTACTCATCACCGGCCCAGGATCCCCTGCCGAGAGAATGGTGCTGCCTATCATGGGCAGTCCTGTCCATATCAGTTAGTGTGAGCAAGATGATTCTCCACAGTCACACCAACAAGTCAGCTTCATCTAGAGATCCCTCCTGGAGAGCCTCTTCCCACAGGATTCTAGATTGTGTCAAGATGACAATTAAAACTGTCATCAGAGGGCTTCCTAAAATCCCAGGACGTATTCAAGTGGTGGCTTCAGGTTTTCATTTTACTGCGCTGACAGGGCTTGTCCTCAGGATACATCCACAATGTCCTGGCAAAGCAGCCAAGTTTTCTCCTCCAGTGCAGGGACCTTATCTTCTTATACTCTTTGTATCCACATAACATTTAGCTCATATAGTATATTTATTTAGCTCATTTAATATATACATATTGATCACTTGATTAGCTACTTAAAATGAGGTATATTTGAGTGTGTCATGGGAATTTATAGTAAAGAGAAATCAGTGTGAGAACTGGATGATGCGGGATTTGAACCCACATTACTGAAGTGTGACTAGGAGGGACCAGAAAGAAAGAGAGAAACAGACAAAGGCAATTCATGTTGGGAATCCATGACTACAGCTGAGAGCATGGTTGTCCTGGTAACTGGATGTCATTGAGGATAAACAGGGAAGCTTATTGATTAAAAAAAAAAAACTCACATGACAGAGATATTAATATTTACTTTTAGCAGTAATAAAAATGCAAATGTTATGGGGAGTGATAGTAATCATTCATAACTAATAAGGTGATATGATGATAACACGAGCTGGAGGCAAGGGACCATCGGAGGGCAGTCATTTGTAATTTATGGAAAAAAGTAAAATAGACTATGTCCTCAGGGCATAACATCCCCAGGGGAAAAATAATTTGAAACGTAATGACCTTCTTCAGGATTTCTTTTTCCCTGTGATAAAAATGAAATAGCTGATATAACCTGTCTCCGTCTGTGCTGTACAGAAAACTGCCTCGGAGCCTAAATCACACTGACACTCTACTTCGTGAACTTCCTCTACTTATTTTCTGGCTGATTGTTACCAGGGGTAGTTTTGTTTTTTGAGGCTGGTTCTCACTGTGTATCCTTAGCTGGCCTGGAACTTGCTACTTAGACCAAGTTGGCCTTGACCTCAGATCCACCTGCCTCTGTCTCCCGGGTGCGGGGTTTAAAGGCATGCACAACTATACCCAGGGTCATGAGAGCTTTGAAGGCTGGAGGCTGTTTCTTGAATATTCAGCGCTCTATACATTAAAATCTTTTCGTGCCGTCACCATGGTGCCCGTGAATATCCTGGTTGATGTTCTCAGGAGCATCAACAATGCTGAGAGAAGAGGCAGACACTAGGGCCCCATCAGGCCCTGCTCCAAAGCTTCAGCTCCTCGCCCTGGTGATGAAGCCTGGTTGTGTTGGTGAATCTAAAATCGCTGCTGACCACAGAGTGAGGAAAACCGTTGTGAACCTCACAGGCAGGTTGAACAAGTGTGGAGTGATCAGCCCGAGATTTGACGTGCAACTCAGAGACCTAGAAAAATGGTAGAACAGTCTGCTCCCATCCCGTCAGTTTGGCTTCATTGTACTGACAACCTCAGCTAGTATCATGGACCATGAAGTGGCAAGACAAAAACACAGGAGGAAAAATCCTGGGATTCTTTTTCTAGAGATGTAAAACACATAAATAAAAAGCATTCATGGGGGGGGGACCTCCACATACGCCGAAATAGCCACTTGTCTCTGCTTTATAAATTGAGCAGGTCCAGTGGATTGAATGCCTTCTTTTAGCCTCTGCAGTCACATCTCTCTCTCTCTCTCTCTCTCTCTCTCTCTCTCTCTCTCTCTCTCTCTCTCTGTCTCTCTGTCTTTCTCTCTCACACACACACTTGCATGTGCATGCACACACATACCATAAAAATGCCCAAAGGTCCCTCTTCAAGCTATGAAGGAAGGCCTTACCATTCCTTGTCTGGGATTTTTTGGTAGGGATGAGGAAAATTCATAGTTAAGCATGGTGGCACATGCCTAAGGTGTTAGTACTTGGGAAGTGGAGGTGGGAAAACCAGAAGTTCAAAGTTCAAAGGCTATATAAGTGAGTTAAAGATAAGCCTGGACTACCTGAGAATCATCTTCTAAAAAATATATAAAAGGGGGGGGCCTGGAGAGATGGCTTAGTGGTTAAGAGCACTGACTACTCTTCCAAAGGACCTGGGTTCAATTCCCAGCACCCACATGGCAGCTCACAACTGTCTGAAAATGCAGTTCCACGAGATCTGACAACTTCACACCAATGCACATAAAAATAAAGTTAGATAAATCATTAAAAAATATTTTAAAAATATAAAAGAAAGGAAGGAAGAAAAAGATAAAAGAGAGAAGAGGGTTGTTTTAGTTTTGTTTGTTTGTACATAGCCTGGTTGCCGTTGAACTCTTGGCACTTCTCCTGCCTCAACTCCTGAAGGTTGAGATTGTAGGCACGGCTAGAAGAAGGAATTGAGAACAGCTTTAGGGCAGAAGGTAGAAAGATGGCTCAGCAGTTAAGTGCACCAGCTTCTCTTCCAGAGGACCAAGGCACAATTACCAGTACCACATAGCAGCTCACCGTCATGTGTAACTCCAGTTGCAGGGCTTCTGACATCCTTTACTGGTTTCTGCAGGCACCAGGCACACGTGTGTGTGTGTGTGTGTGTGTGTTTCGAGACAGGGTTTCTCTGTAGCTTTGGAGCCTGTCCTGGAAATAGCTCTTATATACCAGTCTGGCCTCAAACTCACAGAGATCCGCCTGTCTCTGCCTCCCGAGTGCTGGGATTAAAGGTGTGCACCACCACTGCCCGGCTGAGAGGGGTTAAAGATATTTTTGTTTCTCAGCTTTCACAGTGTGTGCACGATTCCATTCACCAGACTTCAGGGTTCATTTTTGGGGGGACTCTGTTGACTTAACAAAAGGAAGCAGGAAGGCAGGCAGAGGAAATGCCAGTGGTGCTATCCTAACAGTACTGTCCACAGCTACTGAACCAAGTGCTCATGCATGGCCACACAGCCAAGTGCTACTCCCTAGACATAGAAGGAAGCAGAAAGAGGCTGTGGAAAAGGAGGGTGTTCATTGAGAACTGAGGAGATGTCCCGGCGGCCCTTCAATAGCACTCAGTTTGTCCAAAACTGGCCCAGCCCTCCCTGAAGACCAAAACTATCAAAGTCTGTATGACTTGTGCTCCATCTACAGCATGGGGCTAAGATGTCAATTCAAGAGTCTTAGCCCTGTCTACGTGTCCTGGCACAATTCTGTTGTCAGGGCCATGAGAAGCTGCCCGAGGTTACCAAGGCGTTACAGGACTTGATTCGCTACGTGTAGCTTCTTGATTTCTGAGTCATTCTCTTCAAATATCTTGGCAGTCTGAGGTCATGTAATCGCTGATGACTTTCTGTGATTTGCCGTAGGGCCCTTTGCTCAGACAGGTTTGACGTGAACCTATCTGTCGGGTCTCCGTGGATATCCTTGAGACCACGGTACCTCCTTACAGTTCAGCTGTTGACGGGCCAGAACCTGGAGCAGAACTGTTGCATGTTCCAGTTCTTTCCTTTTCTAGTGTTTCTTGGCTTTCAGATAAGAGCATTGAGCATAGGGAAGAGGCAAAATGAAAACAAGCCGAGGAAGCAACCTCAGAGGGCTTAGCAACATAGATTTGAAACTGAAGATGTGTACTAGCCATTGCTGAGTCCTAGCAGGTGACTTCTGTGCCATTCTTTCTTCCTTCC